ATCGGGGTTCCAGGACGGTGCGCCGAAGACTTCATTCCACATATCAGCAGCCACAACTCCAAATTAATTTCTCATAGTCTTCCGATATGACCAATTTTCTAATATCTTCTAACCAAATTTTAAAACGAAATAAACTGCCCAATTACGTGAACTTATCAAAGGCTCCACAGGTAATTTTTTGAAATAAACTTTCCACTAACTTTTCTTTTCATTTGTTCCATTTATTTGATTTCTATATGCCAATTAGCCCATAGTTATTCCTGATGGAGAAATTAAGAAAGCAATTATTTTTGTGGGTTTCCCAAACACATACATGACGTGCTTGTTTTGTGTTCCGTTAACCAAAGCATACAGGAAAGACATCCAACTCTTATTTTCCAAATCTGATAATTTTTTTATCTGTAAGTAGGATTTCGAGACTTCTAGTAGATCAGATATGTGAGATCTATTCATCTTATTTCGTTTAAAGTGGTGAAGGACTGGTAGTTGTATTTTTCCACAATGACATGAATATACCTTGCATTTAAATTTAATTTCACATAGCCCTGCTTTCCAAAAGGTATTCTCATTCAGAATAGACTGCAGTTCCGACCTCGCCTAGGTCTTATCAACACCCCTAGCGGGACTCGAACCATGGCACTGCAGTGTATAATCTTAACTCGCTAATCCCTACGCCAAATTGCGACGAGTGCTCTTGGGTCATAGAGTAGGTGTAAATTTCAAGGAATGTAGAAAAACTAGACTTCGAAGAATCCCTTAATAGTTTGATGTTGGAATACCTTTCATTTCGCATGAAGAAGCAGATGGAAAAGATTCGTAGGTTGGTCTCACAGGAAGTCGCAGTAGGATTGCCTTGGATGTGTGATAGTAGTTTTGTGCAAATGGTCCTCTGAGCACCGCTCTGTGACCCCGATGAATCCTTGCTGGGCTTTCGTCCGTAATGTGACGAACATCGTCATAGCGGGACATCATGCTTAACGATAAACCACTAAAACATGGAGGCAAGAAAGTTGGTTGGCTTCAAACCTATCTCTTCGTTATAATACGCTTAGGCATCTCATCCTTTGGTATAATATCATATGCTTTGCCTATATACTTGCTCATAAGTTAAGTTAAACGGCTGCGGATGACATGTGAAGTGGCTGCAAATGAAGCGTGAATTGGGTGCAATTTAAATCCAATAGATGCAGCCTTTGATCTTGCAATCTTACCGCATGTGATAGCATCCCATTGCATGCGTGTTGTGTAAGAAGTGCATTGCTCTTGAAATGAGTGTGATGCCGTATTCAAAACCAGATTCGAACCTAATCAAGCCTTCTCTTGCTCAGTGGTACTTCTTGTTCTCTCCCTCTCTCTCTAAACCTATCCAACAGCCACAAATAGTTTCCACTTAACTTCCTACACTCATTCCTTCCATTAAAGGTGTTGGCTGTTTTGTTGTTTTCTATCGTTTCTCCAATCTTTCGCTTACGGGTATAGTCTCCACATTCAACTAGGCGTCTGGCATAGAACAAATCTATCACATGTTCTGTGCGTGTAGTGTGTTCGGCCAATTCCGATTTTTAAATCCACAGAACTTCGCAGGGTAATTTGTGTTATCATAACCTCTTATGTTTGGGCCATACAGGTCTCTCCCACAAGCGCTACCACATGAACGCACATTCTTGTAACAGCCCGATCTGGAGAGCGTATCAGAGTATCCTCGAAACGAAGGCATTACCGAGGAAAATGTTATTTTCTCTTTATAAATTGTCCTTATGTCCCACCTACCCAGTAATTCGCCTATCTTCGGCAGATTAAACGAAGGCAGCATATGGATTCTGGTTGAGTGGTCTATCTTTTTGTCCGCCCTTAAATATATATTTCCCTTTATTAAATTTGACAATTTTCTAAAATGATTATCAACCAGCCCTTCTGAATAATTATTCTCAACCAGAATTCTCCTTATTATTCTCATTTCCTGGTCCTGATGCCTAAAATCTGGCAGACTCATACTCCTTATAATCATAGACTTCATAACTCCTACTTCAACTCCATAAGTCTGGTTGGAGAAGAAATTCATAAGGAAACCTGCATTTTTTATATTCATATACGCATCTCTACCTAATCTGCTAACTGGGACATCAAGAAAACGTAAACCACCTTCCTTTTCTAACTCGATGGTGAATTTCCTCTTCCCATTGATACTGTTCACCATACCAAGAAGATTTTCTAGGTTTTTTTTGCCATGTTTCTTAAACATCAAAGTAGTTGTCCATATAGCGAAATAATAATTTAGGAACTAAATAGGCCTCCTGAATCAAGCGTTCCTCAAATTGGTCCATGTAATTATTTGCTAAAATTCGTGACAAACACGATCCCATAGTTAAACCTCGTGTTTGTTCGTACAGTTTACCATTAAAGGTAAAATATCTACAGTACATCGCTATGTTGGTCAATATCATTATTGACCCTTTGCTTAACTTCGTGCTCATTAAAATCTCCATATGTTGGTCTAGTGTGGATTGTCGAGCCTTTAGGATTTTCAGATTCTCCCTTTTGCCACGTAGGATCCGTCTGCTATCTCCCGATGATAATTGCTAGGTCGGTTTAGCCTCAAGTTGGTTTCCCAGACGCAGATAATGGGGAATAACGCCTCGAGTTGGACAGCTAGGATGGCAGGGGTCGAATGAAATACTTTAACCAGGGAGATAACAGACAGAACAATATGGCGGACACTGATCAACATTCCTTGCACAAGGTTGAAGCCGGGTGAGAAAACTAGCGTGGGGTGTGGAGAGTTTCAGAAGGGCACACCATGTCAAATATAAATAAGCAAGTAAAATTGTGATAATCAAGGGATGATACGAGAATATAGGATTGGTGATTAGCCCAAGGCAGAAGGAGAGATATCACGATTGTTCAGCAGATATTTGGTTAAGTATCGGCCTCACTTTTCTTTTTGACGAGTTGTAATGTGCTTCTAAAAATGACAAGGCCCACTGACGATGCCTGAGAAACGTCTGGAAATGTACCACGCCCACGTGGTACAAGTTGCGATAAAAGGTCAAACAACTTTTATTCAACCAAAGGAGACGGTGACCATACAAAAGGCTTACCATCTTGTTCTTCATAACTTTGATGTTGATATTATCAAAAATTGCTGCCAAATGCGATATCAGAGCTAAATTTCATTTTACTATTTATTACCGTATTACTCTCATGATTAGTTATTTGCCTCACTTTTCACACATTTTAGTTTTATACTCTGATATGATGCTAACTCTAAGCTATGTGCTCTCCCACTTAACAAGATAAGCTATACACTCAGACTAGATCGAAACTTACAAGAAATAACGAATTTCTACAACTTGCTTATCCACCTGCCTGTCATTTTCATAGACCATCTTGCTCGTTATTTACCTTAATTAGTTGCAAGTAGATCGTGACGTTTTATGCATCACTATTTTTTCTACTTATACTAAATTCGACTAGGCGTTTTAAACAGAAAATTAGCATTAGGAAGTCTAGTATCTTGCCAAAGAAGCTCGCTCATTATTCACTTGTCTTACAATCCCCTACCTATAAATTGTTGTCTTTAAGTTTAGCCTTTACAATATCTGTAAGATCCATAGTTAAAATCTTATATGTTTCAAAAATATCATAAGCCTTCCACACCTTTATTGTATAATTTACCCTACCCTTAACTACAACTGCCTCACTTTTGTGCGTTTACAGAAGTATTTAATTATGAAATTTTACCAGTATACCGTCATTAATGATCCTGTTTTCATCTGCCTCCTCCAAATTACTGTCTGTGGATGATTTGTATGTCATTATCCAGCATAGTCTCCTGTGCAAAATGATCGTTAACATTTGAGTACTGCCATTAGTTTATCCGTACAGTTTCTAGTACATTACAAGGCAAAATTCCAACCCTCTGGCAGAACCTCTTCAATTTTATCATTTAATGTTATATAACAGACTTAACCTCTTTTGGTCCTTAAATTCTTCCTGAAAGGCTTCCGGCGCAGTTATAATTTTTCCTATTCTTATATTCAAGTTCATAAATTTCTCATCATCTGCATTTTCAACTTATTTTATAACCCATCAGTACTATATTATAAGGTATTAAGCCATTGCTTGTAACTTAGGTAGGGCATCCGAGCTAATAGTATCAGGCAAGATTAGCTTAAGTCTAGTTTTATTCAGATTTTTATATATTTTCCTGATGCATACTTTTACTGAATCATGGGATGGATATACCCTGTTTCTGTACAGGAAACTTTACCTACTAATAATAAAACATTTAAGAATAATTATGCGTTAAGAGCACGATTTAGAACATATATATGATGACCAAGATATTGTGGCCTCTGGTGTGGTCGTAGTCTCCTTTCGATTGATAGAAGTGGGTTGACCTCGTTGTCGAGTTCGTAGCTTGGTGCGGCGAATGGAGAAACTCACTGATGATGCCGACTACGATGCCGGCGAAACGT